ATGTAAAGTACAGTAAAAGCCAAAACTCAGAGCTGGGACATGTTTCCTCTGAAAAAAGGCTCACTGAACTCAATGGAGTATTTGTGAATACATATGCTTAGGATTGTGATGATTGTGATGTATGGGTCCTCCCAAAATATTACAGTATGCATCAAATAATCTAGATCAGGATTTTACTTCTGTAAGTATATTCACAAAAGAAGATCGATGATTAATTTATAAATCACTTTATTAGGTATTACTGTGCTGTTAGTCTCATTACTAGTAAGCTGATGAAATCTACAGCATCTGATTTTTTTAAAAAAAGCAATCCATCAATCTTTTCAACTCTACCATTGGGAGGGAGGGGGAGAAACCTCCAAGCTCCACTATTTCCTTTGATCTGGTATGGGAAAAGATTCTGCATATTATGAATGTATCATGTTCTTTGAGGCTTCTATTAGATCTTGACAGGTACAGTGAGCTGTATTGTACACTTTGTTTAGAGATACCACAGAATAAATTGAAATGATAAATGGTTCCATCAGTGAATGTAAATCATCTGCTTTGCTTTTGAAACACGACATGGACAAAAATGAACCACAGCAGAAAGTCTCCTCTTGTGACTACAAATTATATTATCAGCTGCAAGAAACCAAGCAGCTATTCAACAGTAAGACTGAAGGGAGTGAAATTCAAGAACTGCTACAGAAGGGAACAGGACGTTTACAAGAGAGGTGCAAAACATGAAGTTCAAGGGCTACAAATGGCTTGGACATGATCTCCAGGTAGCCTCTTTCAAGGCTGCCACCAAATTGTGGCAGGAAAATATTAAATACATTGGGAGTAATCATACCATCTGTTTTAACTGAAATCACATATTAGTTTAATAAAAATTTAATATATCAAATCATATAAATTTTATACTGATCCCTTACAGGCCTTTATTTAATCATTTATTTCAATTAATGAGAACTGTCAAAGGATAGTGCCTAAAGGCAGTGATCAACAACTATTACTACTAGAAAAAAAGCATATTATAAGAACATGCTGCATGTTATTTATTTTTAAGAAATGAATTTAATTTAATGACAAATTTAATTAGATTGATTCTTTGGGTATGACTTGGGATCCTAACCCAAAAGAATTGTGATTTGTTAGAGATGTAAGCTTTGTCAAACTGTGACCATACACTGACCATATTGTTATCAAATATAACACAAATTGAAAAGGCACAGAAAAAAATTCTACTAATATAATAATGGAAGGGAAAATAAAGTTTTATTTATTGATAGAACTTCCCCAATAACAAGATGGGGAGGTGACTAAAAAAAGTATGATTCTTTCATTAGTGGTGTCTCTTCTTGGAGAATGTCATCTCCAAAGAAGGTTGCTGGATCCCTCTTTTATAGTTTTTTCAGTGCCAAGGGGAACAACTTTTTATTTCCTGGCATTTTAAGAACTGCTTTCAGTTCTTCAGAATCTTCACAACACTTAATTTTGCTGCTGGTTTTACTTGATGTATATGTGCAGCACTGTGGTAATTCTTGCTACTAGTTATACCCTGCTGCCCCAATAATAATTCATTATTTTATTATTTTTAACTTTCTTCATCCAGAAAATTTCATTATAGGATAGTCTAAAGTTGTAATCATTAACTGTTAACAATATTTAGGGCTTCTGGGTTAGAAAAAATGGCTAGGTGGGGTTGGGGGATAATAGAGGGGTGCAAAATTATACCTGGTGCAGAGAAAGTGAACAGAGAAAAGTTATCTTCTCTCTAGTTAGACTTGAATCTGAAGATATCTAGGGGAGCTAAATTGTGGGAGATATAAAAGGAATGACTTGTTCTTAGTTCCTGAGTTCCCAATATGGTGCTCGGTAGTGATAATGTACCTGCCAAGATGTGCCTGCTTCCCACCTATTTTTATTTTTAAAACAATGAACGGGAAATTAACATGCTGCCAAGTGAGCCCCTGGACCTTACATAGATCAAAGAGACAATTTCATGATGGATGGTTGAAGCCCGGTGCTTTGCTGTTCAATATGAGTCTTTTATGATTGGCCACACCCACTATGGCAAGCATTCTGTGAGAGTGCTCATAATACGTTCTCCAAATTCCAAATATGTCCACCCATACAAAAAGATTGCAATCCTGCAATAAATAGCTATGCTATGAAGCTGCTTACACATATAGGAACAGCATGGACAGTTTTAAAGAGATTAGGCAAATTAATGGAGAATAAAGTAGCAATATAATGGCAACATCTGTATGAGATATTTCTCATATTGATGAAGGGAACAGCAGATACCAAAACAATGAACAAATATAGATTGCCTGGCCTTCATGAAAAATGCAAGAACCTCCTTCCCTCCGCACAGAAAAAAGCCATAAGGAAATGGAAGAGAGTTTTGGCAACTCAGACTGCCTATATATAAATTTCTCATTTGAAAGCAGAATACTTGCCAGAATTCTTGTGTTGCAACCCTAAACTTCTTCTAATAAATACTGTTCACCAGAACTCTTCCATTCTTGTTCCTTGGGTTAAATCTTTTCAGTTTAGACTGTAAGGAGGGAAGTCTGACAGTCAGTACCACAAAAATGACTGAGTAATGCCAGGAGTTTTGACTGGATTTACAATAACATTCAATAAAGTTAACAGGATTGTTCTCCGATCATGTCTTTCATAAATTACCTCCATTTTGACTCAATAAAACGGCAATTTTGCAGCAACTTTTGTAGGTTTCCAGGGACCACACCAAGACCCTGGAATGAAGCTCAAGGAGCTGCCAACCCATCTCACTAACTCTTACAGATTTCCTGTTTCAAGACATCCTGAGTCCCAGTGAACTGACAGCTTCATGCTGTTCCTTTCAGACTGTTTAGTTTTCCACCCGGGGGGGCTTCATCTGCGCATGCCCCGTTGACACTCAATTTAATCAATGGAGGATTTCCTCCTGTGGCTAAAACCTCAATCTTTTTGCAGCCACTCAAGGGCGAAGGCAACCTGACAGTGTTAAATTGAATTTGCTAATTACTTCCTACTACAGTTTAGGGCAGATGATTCCCTTTGCACCCAGGAGCTCAGAAGTTTATTATTTGCTTGGGAAATGGCACGGAGTACAGTAAAGAGATTTGTGAATAAGCCTAGCTCTCTTTGATAAACTTGATGTGGGTAAACTTGATGCAGGTAACAAGATATAATATTTTGTTAATATATTGTATACCAGTGGTCAGAAAGTGGGAGAAGGTGGAAGTGAAGCAATGTTTGTTGTCTTTCAGAAGCTGACAAAAAGCTGCAGATGTAATCCATATTTTCGCTTTTGCTCAGATTATTTAATTATGCTTAAGAAGGCTGCAGTCCTACTCCCCTCTTCTCAGTGAGCAAACCTACATTCATTTAGACTCACATCTAATTTGCCATGTATTTGATTGCAATGGGCAAGTATCAGTTTTTCTAAACTCTCTACAGGAAAAGGTGTTTCCATAGTTGGTTTTCATATTGGCCAGAAAAAGGGGGATTGGGGGAAATAACAGCTGCTGTGTTATTTGTCTGACAAGAGATTTGTTTAATTCTCTGTAAGGTGATTGCAATCATTGCTTCACCACCATATCTTTTAGGCGCTGGAACTCTGCTTCTTTAGTTATTCACTTTTCCTCATTGCACATGCTCACAATCTGCTCTCTGGAATAAATTTTGAAGATATCCTGGGGAAAGGGGCAGGGAGAATTGACCACCTCCTGTTCATTGAGCAGAAATTGCTTCTACTTATGGAAATACCTCATTGGATTCTGTCCTGAGATAGAGGCAAATGCGTAATACTGTTCTAGATGGCTTAAGAAGCAGCCAGAAAAAATATATGATCTAGGCAGAGATACAGTGTATGGAAATTGAGAAAAGAGAGAATAAACCTTTTTGCAGCCCATTCAAAAGCTACGTTCCCCAATGGAAAGATTTATGCTAAACACTTTCCATGGTACAATACCAGCTCTAGGCAGAGGTCATAATTTATACACTGCTTACCTTGTGTCCTGCCCAAGTGTGTGCTATAGAGTGTCATTAGAATATGCAGTCCTGACACAGAAAATGTGAGATTGGACTGATCCACATGAGAAGCAGCTTGGAAACAGCTTGCCTGAAGATGCCATTTGGTAAAAATGGTTTTTCATCTTTTAAGGCATACAGTTAAGGGGAGATATCAAACTCTGGCTTTGGAGGACATGTCTGACAGAGTGCTAAAGAAGAATTTTTACATTCTCCAATATTCAAGGAATAAAAGGCTTATAAGAGGCTACTTAGCACATAATGCTTCTCAAGGGAAAAGAGTTATAACATCTAAAGAGGAACACATTGTCTCACCTTAATGTTTTACCTCTGGCAGTCTTGGAGGGTAACTTTCATAACAATCCTATGGGAGACCAGATCTACTCTCTGGATCAGGTGAGGTGGAGACTGTGGCTCATGTTCTACATATGGCTCTTTTCATTGTCCATTTTTTACTAATAGACCAAGAAGGTTGGTTATGTTTTATACTTCTTTTTTTTTATTGGTAGACTCAGATACAGCTGTTACTCTTAATGCTGGTAAATTTTGTGCTATGGCTTGTTGAGTCCACCAAATGGCATTTCAGGAATCAGGTTAGCGATGTTTAGTGATTTAGGTCCTGAGCTTTAACTGCATCTTGCCAACATGACTATTGTATTATTGTTTTGTTTGCTTTATTTCAGTATATACTTAGTTTTGACTGGTCAGTGACTATAATAAAGATTAGATTAACTATCTAAAGTATGAAACTAAGCACTTGACATGTGAATGCTACAAATCATATTCACAAACTTGCATGAACAGGCACATTCTTCAGAAGCAGTGTTGGATTGCAGCTCATGATGAGTAGTTGCTCAGGACCAACTCTGAGTTGCCTTTGCTGCCAGCAAGGTAACTGGGATTTAGTGAAGAAAGTGTCTCCCTCTACATACTTTTTCTAAAGATTCTCTTTGAACAGAATAATTAAAACTTACCCATTTTCTTCGTATCTGAGGCTGGAAACAAAATCCATTGATTCCACATCTGTTTTATAGCCAATGCTGTTCTTCCTTCTTGTATAATTTTTGCGTGTTAAATATCCCCTAAAAGCTAAACAACCATTAATAAAAATAAGATTAAAAATGGAGCGGCATTCTCTGGCATTTTGCTGTATGCAGCATACAGAATACTCTTAGTTCAAGCCCTAGAAAGAAACAAATTCAGATTTGTTTCAGTTTTGCAGCCTCTTGCTGCAACCACCCTCCAGGCTACGTAGTTTACTGACCATTACAAATGAATGGCCATGCCAAAGGTCTGATCTGAGAACAGCTACAGATGGATTTTGTCAGCAAGCTATTTCTGTGGAGAAAATTGAATCACCATTTATTCTGAGCATTAACAAGATACTTATCGTTGTAAGTATCTCCCTGGCAAATATTTTTATTTTATCTATTTTAATACACTTTCATCCTTCCTTTTCTTCAATACTGAGTAATTAAAGGCTTACCTCTCTATATCATAAAACACAAAATACCAGCAGCAAAACATAATACCCATCAACAATATTAAACATATCTTTAAAACAGTGACTAAAACAGCCATCCTAGGAAGTAAAGAAGTGAGACGGTGCCTCACTTTAGCAGACGATGTTGGAGCCTAAGAACAGCCACTGATATGACCTCTGAATAATTCCACTCACTCATGTCTCAGTTGTAGAAACACAGAATAGGAGCAACCAACCTTCTGCTTTCCATACATTTTGGGCTACAGCATCTACAATCTCTTGCCCACAGAGCTGAAGGGATTGTAGAAGTAAATGACTTCCATTCCAAAGAAGCCTGAGGGGATCAGGTCACCTACTATTATAGAGATGCCTCTGAACACTATCTCAGCAGGCAAGTACAGTCACATGAGAAAAGTCAGTGTTGAATTTGGTGCTGTTTTTTTGTGGCTAATGAAGAAGTTACATGATTCTTCTTAATGCCTCCCTAAATGTAGAATGTCAGAAGTAATGCAATACAAACATGCATGGATATCAAACATCCCATGCAGGAAGATTTTTACCCTTAATAGTGTTCATACAGATGCAAAGCAATTCACATGTTTACAAAATATGTTGCTAATATCAGATGGGAGAACCAATCTGGTGTAGTGGTTAAGGCATCAGGCTAGAAACTGGGAGACCCTGAATTCTAGTCCCACCTTAGGCATGAAGCCAGCTGGATGACCTTGGGCCAGTCACTCTCTCTCAGCCCTAGGAAGGAGGCAAGAGCAAGCCATTTCCAAAAACCCTTGCTAAGAACATTTCAGTTACCAGGAGTCAACAATGACTGAAAGGCAAAAAAAAAAAAAAAAATCAAAGAGCCGAGGAAGGGAATCATGTGGCTGATCATCCAGCTGACATTGGGTGGGTGATCAACCACAGCTCCTTGCAATAGTGACTCTCTCATGCCCCAATATCATCAAGAATTGGGCTGCAATAACTTGGATTTGAGACTATGCTTTTCTTCTTGGAAGAAACAAACTTATCAGTGAAAATTAACTGGGCTGAGGATCCTTCCAGAAAGGCTAGTTTTAGCCAGAACTTTAATCAGCAGAATTTCATACAAGCCTTAGTAGAGACAAAACTGAATTCTAGCTGAGGAACAGCATTTTGCATACAAAAAGGAAGCTGAAACACAGTTCCTAAGAATTTATACAGAGCTTATTCTAAAGCTCTTGTGTCTTTGTAAGCAGTTGTATAAAATGTATCACAATGTACATATGGTCCACATCACGGCTCAAATTTGGTAGACAGAAAAAAATGGGCCATTTATCTTCCCATTCTGCCTTGGAGAAAACAATGCTCTAGTGAGCTATAAGCCAGGTAATATAGACACATCATTTTTTGGAGAGAACAAATAGTTAAGAGATGGACAACTAAAATGATTTTCTATATTCCCTTCAATGAAGAGATATAAAACAGTGAATTACAGACTAATCAGTTTTATATTGATATTTCAGACACAATCATAAAATGGTTGATCTTTAAGTACTTTGAAAACAATGCAGTAATTACCAAAAATCAGCATGAATTCGTCTGTCTTGACAGACTAATCTTATTCCCTTTTTTTTAAAGAGTTAACTTCCTTAGTAGATGGTGGAATGTATAATATATTTTGATTTGATAAAGTACCTCATGACTTTCTGATTTCTAATTAAGCGTGGGGCTGGATGGCGTGACAATTAAGTGGATACATGACTGTCTCAAAAATTATATACCAATTGCTCATTAGTGGTTCTTCATTCAAGTGGGAGAACATATTAAGCGGTATGCAATGAAGTTCAGTCCAGGATCCTTTATTTTTCAATATTTTTATTAATGACTTGTGGGAAGAGGTAAAGGGAATGCTTATTCAATATGCATATGATATAGCACTGGGTGGGGTGCCTAATTCCTTAGAAGACAGAAATAAAATTTAAAAATGATATTAATACAGAAGAGAAATGGTAAGTAAAACAGCATGAAATTGAACAGATAAATAGAGAGTTACATTACAAAACAGGAATGGGGGTACCTGGGCTGGCTTTCACAATACTCTTGTGAAAATGATACTGGAACTAACCCTAACTAAATAAGTCAGGCCCATATCTTTGTGGGAGACAACTATGCTGGCAACTCCAAGAGGGTGCACTAAGGTGCCCTCTGAATGGGGCAGCCTTTGTTTTCTTCTCATGTGTATCTTCCTCAGACTAGTCAGGGTTCTTGACAGTTTGTTTCTGGACACCATTTAAAATCCTGTTTTTTAGACTGGGACTAGAGAATGTTAAGAACTGTCTTCTTCAGCACACATGGGCATATACCAAATCCTCAACAGAAGTCTGTAGTTTTCTGTTGCAGCTTTCTAACTATGGAACATAGTCCCAAAACCTATTTGTGTGATAAACATTTTATTTTCTTGTAGGCAGCAGGTAAAAGCTGTTTCATTTGTTGAACCTTTTAATGGAACAGAGTTGCACCACTTATTGTACCACTGTCACTTGCCTTCTATTTATCCTATTATTGTTGTAGTATTTATGAGATGCCTCAAAGATTATTCGATCAAAGAGAAGATTTTTCTTTAAATGAAGGAGTCAAATCTTTGGCAATAATAACACAACTCAAAGCCAATAGTCCATTAAAATGTTTTTAAAAAGCGAAGCCAAATCTATAATGTTTTAGGAAAGCCTGTCAACATTCCTAAATATAATATAAAAGCTTTATAAAGCCGACTTATGTATTGAACCAGGGTATTCTCAACTCTCTTAAAAGATTCCTCAAATTCTTTAAATGGATATAGAAATTCAACCTGAAATTGTAAAGCAACTTTGTAGTCTGCAGATGTTCCTCGTGGTCAACACAGACAATTCTAGGCTAATTCAATACATCTGGAAGACACCAAGATAGGGAAGGCTGGGGATAATCAGGGGGAAACATGATTATCACTGATTTCTGGTTCTTAGCTATCACTGAGCTGGTGCTATACAGAGCAATGAGGCAAACTTGATTCCCAGAATGCAAAATGAAATAAGTGGAATTAAAATTAACCATCTAAAGTTTTTAATAATAAAAAATGTAGAAGTATGATTGTGTTGCAACAACTGGGGATGAGGAGACAAAGAGAATTAAGCATGCAGGTGACTTCACCTACCTGATTAGAATGGTTGAACTAAAGAGAGCAATGCTTTTGCTACTATGAGCTGCACTTAAAAAAAAAAAAAAAGCCCCCTAATGGCCTTGGGGTATGATAGTGATATGGTAACTGGAAGGATCAGACCCATTTTTTAACTTTTTTTTTTTTTGCATTTTAGGGGAGATAGGATTCCCCCCCCCCCCCCACATTGCTTAGTCTTAAAAAAGAGGAAATAATACTTCACTAAATTTCAGCAGTACATAAGATAAAGCAATGATGAATTCATATAATTTATCCTGGGGGCATATCTGATTTCACAACTTAAATAAATCCAATTAAATTTCAAATTATGATATCAGTTTCCCAACCTCAATTCAGCAATAAATTTATTTCTCACATACTCTGGGTTTCTACATTTATTAAAATATTTCTATCCCACCTTTGAACTCTGCTGTGGAGCCCCCAAGGCAGCGAACATGGAAGCCTTTTTTTCTTAGAACACATTTACTTTTTTCCACATGTTTTATCAATGTCTGTTCTACTGCTTGCCTAGCCACTTGTGTATTTGAGAATCTATTTATTTTCAAAATGCAAATGCATCCTATCTCTAAAGACTGCCTTAAGGGAAAATAAACAACCTGAACAAGACTTTCTATCCAGCCTGCGATCTCTTGCTGTCAAAACCATTCAAAGAATATTCTGAAATCTGAATGTAGCCTCCTCCACCCAACAATTAAAATGAGCAGGCTAATCCTAGAAGAATTATTCAGGCAAATCATCCCCCCCCCGCCCCCCGCCCCCCCATCACACAGTATAAAGTAATGATAAGGTCATTTACAAAAGAAACCACTGCTTTTGAAATGGTGACTTGTAGACAAGAGGACTGCCTGGAAGTGGGCCATAGATAACACTGAAGGCTGCTTTCTCCTCTCAGACACCAACAACACCAGCCTCCTAGTCTTTGGAACAGATTCTGATGGAGAAAGGGTCCAATAAGGTTAATACCCCTACTTTGATCTCTGTCAAGGCAAGAATTAATTTACATTTCAGATGAAAAAGGTTGACAGCATGAAAAGGCATCTTGTTTCTGGTATGTGAATGTGCTGTAATAGATTGGGAATTCTGAAAGGAAGTCCTGAGGAAGCTAAAGGGATAAACCTCACTGCTGCTTTTACTGGGAAAGAGATGAAAGGAAAACAAATTTCAATATGAGCGGTGTAAAAACATGTAAGCCAAGGGCTTCCTAAGTTTCAAGACTACCTTTTTCCCTCCCACTCTGGTTTCTTTCTCCCTTTTTTTACTTCTTCTTTTAAAAGAGACACTTATTTAAATTAGATGACTCTTTGAATGCCTTGGCAATACATACAACCAAAACTCTTCAGAGAAACAGAAGTCCTCAGGCTTTATTGTAACCCTAACCATATTTTGTAGGCATCTACCATGAGCACTTGGCAGTGG